CCTCCTCCATCATCTCCACTACCTTTATCTTTATCTTTATCTTTATCCTTATCTTTATCGTCCGGTTTTTTTGTTGGCCTTGGTTTCGGTTTATCTGTTTTTTTCGGTTTTTCTGTTGGTTTCTGTTTTTCTGTTTGTGGTCTTGTTGCCCTTGTACCCGTATGATCCGCCGTTTTGGCTGTTTGGACCGTTTTAGCCGTTTGGACTGTTTTAGCCGTTTGGATCGTTTTAGCCGTTTGGACTGTTTTAGCCGTTTGGATCGTTTTAGCCGTTTGGATCGTTTTAGCCGTTTGGACCGTTTTAGCCGTTTTAGCCGTTTTATCAGTTTTGGCCGTAGTCTTTTAATTGAGTGAGTTGTAACCGCTGTGACAGCTGTGACAGGCGGGATATGAGGTGGGCAAGTATTCTTTCTATCAGCAAATTTCATAAGTTTATTTTTTAGGTCAATCGCAAAGTAAAAATTCTTTAAAAAGAAAAATGAATAACTGTTAATATACACTGTATGACAGAAATATTTAACATTAGCAAAAATTTCCAAGTAAATTGCTGTTTTAATTTTTTTAATAGTATACACTTTTTAAAAAAATATATATATATATGTATCTACCTGAAGAAATGGCCTTCCGAGTATAATTTCACCTTTAGGTCCACTTTTGTCATCAAAAATAGATAAACAATTTTTTCCTATTCCTGTTCCAGCATTACTGTCACAGATTGTAGAATTTGGCAATGTAAATTGTACTATTTCATCATCATCCAATGTGACATCAAATGATACATCAATGGGATTTGGCACTATAAATCCACCAGATTTAGACCTTTTAGCCTTTAATAGCCTAAAGAATTCACGAGAAGCCTTTCCAAGAGAAATTCTATCATTTCTAGTGTCAATGACTGAATTAACTACAGGTGAATTAAGAGGGAATCCTCCAACATATAATACATTAATTGATATTGAATAGGTCGATTTTGAAGAATTTAATGATATATTATACATAGGTCCTACAATAAAAATTTTC